CTTCCCACTGTGTATCTCTGTGCCCCTTGCAAGACTGCTCATTACACTCTGCTCGAGTTGAGACATCCAAGATGCTATTATGCCCACGTTCTGCCCTCAGCAGAAACCACAGCAGGGCTCCCACAGGACAGCAGGCAGCGCACACCCAAAGGCCAGGTCGCCTGCTCCTGCTGTGGCCTATACAGAGTCGGAGGAGAGGTCTTTCTTGTTTTAAGCCTCTGTGTTTCTCTAAAGGCAGTGAGCACCAGCCTCCCCTCCCCCGCCCTTTGCCTGAAGAAGCCCGGATGGGATCCCAGGTAAATACCTGCTTGCCCTTGAGTGACACTGGTCTGGTCTGCTGCAGGTCGAGCTTGTGACCAGAGCACCTGGAAGGCAGAGCATGGTGCCCTGGGGGATAGGGTCAGCAGGCTGAGCCCAGGGCAAGGAGGAGGCCGTCCAGGTCTTAAGAATCACTAATTGGGGCTGGAGAAGGAGAAGAGAAAGGGAGAAGGAAGAGGAGGATACATATAACTCATCTTTGTCAAGCATTTCAAGGGCGAGCGCTGTTCAGAATGCTTTGCATCCACAAGTTTAACCTTCAGGACAATCCTCTAAGAAAAATATTACTGTTCTCTTCCTTTCTTGGGTAAGAAAACAAAGTGGGTCCCGGTCTCGAACCCAAGAAGCCTGGCTCCAGGGCTGATGGGGGTGGGAAGAGCTCCCAGGCTCAGAGTCACACGGCTACTCCGAGGTCAGGTCAAAGAGGAGCGCGGAGCCAGCAGGATGGAGCCGGGTTTGTCTCCAGGTGCGGTGCTCGCTCTTGCTCTGGGAGACCCCTGAGTCCTTGGCTCGGGTTTCCTCCCGTAAATCAGATTTTGTTCATTGACATCCAGCACGTGGCAGGGGATAGAAGGTGCACACACACACACACACACACACACACACACAAGGCCCCTCTGAGTCTGACCTCAGCACACAAAGGAGACAGAGGTACAGTTACGGGGTCACTTCTCAGCTTCCACCCAGGACGTGGCCTCTCCTTCCTGCCTGACTGCCACAGATCAATGTCATAGAAACGTACTTATCCAATGTAAATATTAGGTAAGCATTAAAAAAGTTATGCCACCGTGGAGCACACCAATGCTTTTCCCAGAAATTTTCATTTCCCACTCAGTCTGCAATTTAAGGTCAACAGGTCTTTGTGATCATAACCACAGCCATTTAATGTATGCACAGTAGCATTTATGCACTTAGCTGCATGCACTGGTTCCTCCTTGGACACAGTATCTCACTGTTCCGGAGGGAACAAACTGGAATAAATACAGATGTCAGCACAACCTGGCTCCTCCTGGAAGCCCCTGCATGGGACAATAAGAGGAACCACAAGGAGAAATAAAAGGCCTCCAATGGTGCATGACACACTCTATGATGAATTCTTTGCCTTTTTCAGCTGCTTGAAGTCACTGCCTTCTTTAGCCTTTCCGTCATCTTTAAATCTAGCTGGGCTTGGTGGCACACACCTGAGTCTGGCATTTGAGAGGTTGAGGCAGAAGGATCACAGTGAATTCGAGACCAGCCTAGGTTACATAGTGTGTTCAAGGTCACCCTGGACTACATATGGAGAGCCTATCTCAAAAAAACTAGAAAAACCAACCAACCAAACAACAACAACAAAAACCCAAGTGTGTATACCGTGGGTCCTCCCCCCCCCAGCCCCCACTGCTGCCTTCACCCCCGTCACCTCAGCCGCTCCACCTTCTCGAACTCTTCCGCGGCCTCTGTCAAGGAGCCCCATGGTTATATTGGGCCCACCTGGATTATCCAAAATACCTTCCTCTTCTTGAGCTCTATGGCTTCTTCGAAGTCCTTTGCCATACAAGGTATTTGCAGGTTCTGAAGATTAATTAGAATGTGGACATCTTTGGAGGTATGCTCTATTCTATCTACCCAATATGCTCTTAATTTTGCTAGCTTATTAATTTTTGTTTTTGAGATGGAGGTCTTGCTGTGTAGTTCAGGTTGGCCTTCAACACACTGTGTAGCCCAAACTGGCCTTGAACTCACAGCAATTTTCCTGTCTCAGCCTCCTAAGTGCTAGTATTGCAGGTGACCACCACCACACCTGGCTAAGTTTCTATGCTTTGTTAATAGTTGATAAACTGGGCATGGTGGCACCTGCCTGTAATCCCAGCAATTGGGAAACAGAGGTGGAGGATTGCAGTGAGTTGGAGGCCAGCCTGGGCTCTATGAGTCCACCTCCAGCCTGAATATACAGCAAAACCTTATCTCAAAACAAACAAACAAAAATAAGTCTATACATTTGAGATCCAATAGATTTAAAAATAAAGGCTGTCTCCTCACCAGCACCTCCCAGAGGAATCTAAAGTCTGATGTAAGAGCAGGACAGGTCATTAAAGGTCACACTTGCTCCAGGCTGCAAAGAGCTCTGATAATTTGAAGATAATGACTAGAAAAAAAAAAAAAAAAAATTCAGCCAGAATTCTCCAGGAAAATAAATAAATATGAAATAAAATAAAAGGAGCTCTGATAAACTGCCTGACTGGGTCCCCTACCTTTCATTAGAAGTTAGCATCAGCCCTTCTAGAGTTTGATGTGGTATTTCAATGTGGATTGAAATAGTAAAAGATGTTAGTTTTGAACCCTTTTTACACTGCTGGAAACCCATTTTTTTTTACCATACACTTTGAAAGAGCTATGGGGGGGGGGTCCCACAACCAGTTGTCACGACCACAGGTGCACTCGAGGGTAACCTTTACCCCAGACCGTAAGTCTGACCCATGATTTCCGTACTGAAGGGTGACAGTGAAGCTCATGCAAGATGTGCGGGGCTGGACGTACTCTTCGGGTCCTTCGGGGAAAGCTCAGCTGGAAGAGCCCCCCGGGTGAGGTGTCCGGGGGCTGGTGGGGGTGGGAGTACCCTAAGTGCAAGGAGCCCAGATTGCTAAGCTGCTCGGTGCACTGTGGGGTCTGTGCTAGAGCTGTGGCACTCAGATGAGCTTCCATCCGCGGCCCAAACGGGGCCTCCTCGGTGTCCTCACCCACGCGTACCTCCGTTTCCCCTGCTTCCCCTCATCGTTTCGAGTGTAACCGACAAGATGGAAGCCGTGTCCGCTGCTCACTCTTCACGCCAAACTACAGATTTAGTTTCAGTGAAAACACTACTAAAACACTACTAAGTTTGTAAAGACTCACACTGTCCATGTGGCTGGATTAAAAACGAAGAGGATTTAAATCTGAGGCAGAGTTATTTTTCTACCCCCCATAACTCAAAACCGAGTCTAAGGTATGAAAATTCTGATTTTTTCAGTTGTTGAGTACTTAAGATATCAAATGCTTTAAAGAATTATTTTTCCTGGGACCACACACCTGTGATCCCAGCACTCTGGGAGGCTGAGGCAGGATGGGAAGTTCAAGCCTAGCCTGGACAACTTAAGTCACTTAGCAAGTCCCTGCCTCAAAATTTTAAAAATAATATTTAAAGGCTGCAGATGTAGTTTAGCAGAAAGGCCTGGGGCTGGATTCCCAATACCACTTCAGACCCATCATCTTTTAGTGCTTTTTTTTTGCTGGGGTTTAGGGCATGAACTGTAGTGTTTCCTGGAAGAGAAGGAGCTCTGTATTCTGAATTCACTACGAGGTTGGTGTGGTAAAGTCCGGTGATAGACAAGCAGGCTCCTTGCTCCAGTCCAGTTCTGGCTGAGCTCACGCAGTTACCAGCCAGATAACTGCGGGTAAGGGGTCTCGACATCTCGATTGTCCGTGAAGTAGGAATACTGCATAGACCTCCCTGAATGACGTATCTTGCATGTCACAAGCACTCTCCGCTATTAATGGTATCTCTCTCCACTCACCAGCCAGCCAAGCACCTTTAAATACCCGCACTGGGCCAGACCCTGGGTGACAGCCTGAGGGAAGATGGAGTCCTGACCTCAGGGTTTCCAAACCAACCAGCACAACAGCCTCACAAATTACTGACGTCAAGGGGAAGAGGCTGTCGTGATGGAGCTGGGGTAAAAATGAGTGCTAATTCTGAAAATCCATAAATGTTTATGACTTTTCCTTAGCATATTTTTGTCTGCTTCAGTAGCAACACCTCTCACCCAAATGTGCAATCCACAGTACACAAAACGATCAAAGGGAGGCCGGGTGATACTTTTTGAAAAATATCACACCGGGCGTGGTGGCTCACGCTTGTAATCCCAGCACTCGGAGGCTGAGGCAAGAGGATCATTGCGAGTTTGAGACCAGCCTGGGTTACAAAGTGTGTTCAAGGCCAGATTGAACTGCATAGGAGACTGTCTCAAAAAGGCAAAAAAAAGAAAAAGAAAAATATTATCCCAGGAGGTAATTTTTCTCTTACCTAAACAAGAAAAAAGAAAAGAAAAACTGGACGACAGGCAATTCTGAGACCCGTGGCTGAAGGAACACATTCTGGGCACAGTGTGAATGTGGACGTGTGGGCTGTCAGCCTGAAGGAACTGGCAGATTCCCGTCCCCAAGCGCCCACAGCCCACCCAATTCATCCAGCACAGTGCTGCCCACCTTCTCCGGGCCCGTCTGCTCACCACCTCCTGCCTCGGTCCCCACCTCTTCATATTCATCTGTGATCACCAGCATCTCCAGCCCTCCCATCTCAGGCAAGGGCACCTCTTCCGGGCACCTGTTCCCAGGTGAAAACCACCCCCACTCAGGAGTTTCTCGGGCACCTGCTGCCAGCTGCCCGATGAGTTTTCAACTCTTTCGCCCAGGCAGTTCAAGCTCTCTAAATAAACAGCAGTACTAAATTTGGGAGCCCCAAGGGTCACATAATCACATTAATCTACTAACTTTTGGACTAACCCTTTCATGTAGGGAGGTACAAAATCCCTAATGAGCCTGGTCTTCTCCTCACTGGTGACGGGTGTTTAAAATGTGCACCCCTCCTCTCAATACCCAAAACCCGCTTTTCCTTTGCATAACCCACGCAGGAGAGGAGGGGAGGCCATATGCACAAAACAAAGTGGATATTAAAATTAGTTTATTTTTCTACTTAACCTTTAATAAATGAGAAGAAACACAGTAGTCTGTCTCATGTAGAACATTTATAATACATAACAATCCATAAAGCCTCGTGGTGAGGTAGGAACAGCTTTGGAAAATAACATAGTCATAAAACATACAAAAAGGTAAACTGTTGCAGCACTAGGACATTTTAATCTGCATCTGCATTTAATGAGATGAAAACTGTTTCAGGTCTGACTCCAAAGGCAGGCAACAGCAGACACAAGCACACACGTTATGGAAGTTTCAGAGAATCACAGAAGACACTGATACATTTCATTGTGCTGTTTCAAGGCAGAACCATAACATGGCATTTTGTGTCTTTTTATATATAACTACATAGTCATTGTATGTTACATTCCCTTCAGCATCTTCTGGCCAAAGTCATTGAACCATAAAATTTTTGGTGTAAAAGTTTAAACTGAATAACATACAAAAAAGGCTTTTGTGCCAGTGAAAATGACTGCTAAATATTCCAGAGCTTGTTAGTAAAACAAAATAGCATCATCGCCACATTATGGGTAAGCTACATCCAAATAGTGCTATCACAATCGCCATTTCAAAGACAGTAAAACACTGTATGACAGTTTCAACTAAACAAACAACAAAAACCCCTTCCACCTTCCCAAGAGTTTTAACACTGTTTTGTCAACTTAACTGAAAGTCAGTATTAAAATAAATATTTTTATATCATAGAATCACTCTGCATACTTGTGTATGTGTGAACATCTTAAGACAGCAGCTTAACGACATGTTCATCACTCAAATATTTGCTTTATAAAGTAAAAATCTTCAACTCATTACCAGTTAGCCTATTAAATACTTCACATTAGGTTCCATAGGTCTTTTCCCTCAGGACGTTCCAAAATTCAAAATGAACTCAGGACATCAACACGACACAAACATGTTAACAGTCTTCTACGGATTGTGATTTTTTTCAAGGTGCATTTTGAAATTTTCCCTATACAAATTACACACCTTAAGAGAAAGTTACTCAGCATTTTAGTTTCAGCAAAATGAGGATTTTATCAAGGTCTAGCCTGTATTTTTTGCAATATAATAATAATCTCCAAGAAAAAAAAATGATTGCACAGCAAAAAGCTGACCGTACTGAGAATGAAGCTTCTCCTCAGTAAGGCTGCACTGGACCTGAAACTTGTCCTGGGTGGTTTTAATTCGGTCACACACAGCACCTCCTCCCCACTTAATGCAGACAACGGACACAAATTTCTCAACATGTCCTACGCTGACGTTGCTCACATGTAAGAGCCGGCAGGAGGATGCAACCCTAAAACTGATGCAGCACGTGGAACGGCGTATTTAAATAATGGGTTTAAGTCCCCTGACGATCCGGGGTATTTCCCTCATATTCTTTCAGGAATAAGCTGTTTTGGAAAAGTCACTCAAATCTCACAACATTTAAATATAAAAACATGTCTTTCTTAAGGATAATGCTAATATATAGCTAGAAGTGGGTTAGAAAGTGCATTGTAAAGAAATAAATAATTGCTAAAACTCAAAAGGTGAGTCAGTGCCCACTGATTTTGCTATGACAAAGTCTTTCAGAAGAAAAGAAAATTCTATGGTTCCACTTTGTTACATATGGCTACTTAGAAACTAGGAAAAGTGAAGTAACTACACCTAACTGCTAACCCTTCAAAGCACTTTTGAAAAATCCCATGCTTACCATTCTGAAAGGGCCTCACCCGAGTACGTCTTCACGCCTCGGTGGCACGGTACCTTTCAGACAGACCGGAGAGTGTTTCTGAAGAAACCCACGGGTGCAGCACACCTCACCAGTCCGCCTGCTGCGCCCCTGCTCAGGTGTTTATGGAGCGAACTGTTCCAAGACCTACGCGAGCATTCTGTGAAGTGCGGAGCCTCGCAGGACACCTCGCAGGACACCCTGCTGCCTTCTCTCCTGCACCCAGGTACATTCCTCAATTTCGTGTTTAAAAAAAAAAAAAACAGAAACAAACCCAACCTTTTTTGCAAAATTCAAAGTGACTACCAGTTAAAGAAATGAATTACACAGTATCAGATATAAGCACTAAAAAATTCAGATGTACTGCAAACTGGCAGGTTATGGTTTTGGCCCATTATTGTAAATGTGAATTTACAAAGTATAGTTCTTAGATTACCTCATTGCCATCGGGGAAAAAAAAAATCGGCTGTTCTTAAATAGGCCCATTGCCAGCAATAGGCTTAGATTAGGGAAAAACATACCACTCTACCACAAAAAGATCATCCCTTTTAAAAATTACTGTCATATCTCAATACTTCTTTATCTTAAGACCTATTAAGCAATGAATTATTTCAAATCCCAAAAAGGAAGCCATCCCAAAAGTCGTCAGCTATAAAAGTTACGGAAGTAGAATACCTTGCTTCTAGAAAAATAGAGCTATACATAACTGATATTAGTATTCACTCTTTTGAGGACAAAATCTACATTTTCTTTACAAAGCGTAACTCTTCTCAAGAAAAATATAACACCCTTAAATATTTATGTTGGATCTGGAATCTACAGCAATAATGAAATAGCCAAGAACAATGTTTTGGTGGATATTCTGACACCTTACAAGATTAGCCCCTGGAGGAACCTAAGTGATGTCAGGACATGGTGAACTCTAGAATCTTCATCTTTGCAAATCAGTTTGCTAAGAATTTAATATGCAAATTGATTAAGCATCTGATTTTATTCTCTCAAGTCAGTGGCTCTTGGCAATGGGCAAGCACTGCTGGTTGTACACAAAGCAGTTTGAATCCATTGTTACCACACAAAACAACTAAGGTGGTTTTCTTTTCTAATAATGCAATTTGAAAGGTTAATAGCTTGAATTGTATTGTATGAGTACACCTTTGATCCAGTGTTTCTGAGACCAATCTCTGGAAGAAAATAATGCTGGTGAGCAGATCTAAGCTTCTGATGAACTTTGGTAAAACAAGATGTAGAGATGTGGTCTGAATGCTAGTAGGTCCTAATCTCAACACTTAATGGTAAGCCTTCTTTCCTCTCTTATCCCCTTCACATCCTACTGTGTGTGAACTAGAATTTGGTGTAAATTATCTCACTGCTTATCCCTCCGGCAGCACAGAAAGCAGAACAGCATCTGATCTTATTTCCTTCTAATACTCATGAGTCACTCTTAAAATATGGTGCCATTATACCATGTAATGATATCAAAGGGCAAGAAAACATTTCTTAAAACGTCAAAGGAAACAAATTTGTTGATTTTAAAGGTTTAGCAATTGTAATTCTAACAAAATACAACAATGGGGGAAAGAAAACCATAGAAATTCCAGTAATAATTTTATTCATCCCCCTAATTTTTGTCATGCGAAAACTGGAAATCAAATATCATTGTTATATAAGGTTTATACTTTTAACAAAAATGTAACATAATGTTCAAACTGGCTTTCAAAAATTGTTACAGCGTGGCTGTACTGTGCACTAATAATCCCGAAGTTGTAATATAGAACTCTGTTATGCAGTCCCATCGTGTTTTTACAAAAATAGAATTAACTGTGACCAGACAAGGACTTCAGTGACACTGCTTGGCAAACTTAGTATTTCAGTGGAGTCTGTTTCCTCTTGCAGTTTAAAGCAAAAGTCAAATTTTTCACCTCTTTTTCAAGACTCACAAAGATGATTCGGGTTTGTTTGGCACTTTTTTAGCCTCTCCCGCCACCGCGGGGCTGCTTTCACCTTTAGTCCTTTTGGGCTTCTTCTCTAGATTGTCACTAAGTTCTAAACAAGAGATGCTAACTGATGGGACCTTCTCTGGGTCCTTGCCAGCATGGGCTGGCGGCCGCGTTCCACAACACTGCTTCAGTGCGCACTGAGTTCTGCAGGCCAGTTCACATGGGACCATGCTCGCCTTTGAGCCTACACTAGCGAATTCGGGCTGAATGGTGGTGGCGTGAATTCCGTGATTATGGAAAACGTTCTTAATGGTCTTAGCCACCTGCATGTAGGATGCTGGGTCTTCACATTTTATGTGAGCAGTGGCAATGATTCTGCTTCCAGCCAGCTGCCAAACATGCAACTCATGGACTTCCTCAACTCCTTCAACATCCCGAAGTTCTTTTATCAAATTTCTGATATCAATTTGTTTGGGAACAGTTTGTAGAAGAATAAGAGCAGATTCCTTAAGCAATGGGTAAGTTGTATATAAAAGTATACAAACCATGACAACACAAAGACTGGGGTCTAAATACAGCACCCAGCAAGGCCCGGCCTCAGAAACGGATGCCTGTGTGTTGTTAATCAGTTCTACAAACGTTTTGCAGGGGTCAGAGAAACATGGGTTCACACAGAAATCCCCTTCAGGACAACCTTTCCAGTAAAGGTAAAAAAGAATGGCATTTACTACGACAATCACAGACCCCATGGCGTCGCCCAGCACGTGCAGGAACACGCCTCGCATGTTCAGCTGCCCGGCTGTGTCTTCTTCCTCGGCGTCCAGGTTCTCAGGCTCTCGGATCAGGTTCCCGTTCAGCTGTACTTCCACATCCTCACTCCTGGGTTTTCCTGGATCTACAAAGAGAGAGAAACTGTGTATTTAATCATCTCAAGTGCTTCTGGAAACATTCTCATCTGACTCCTCTAAGTGGTAGCAAGGTGCAAACCTGTCCCTAGAGCACACACAGGCGGGAGGGAGGTGTGTGGAGCACTTGAACATGAACCGTGGCTCTGGGAGCCAGCCAGCAGCTGGCGGCCAGGCCTGAATGAAGTTGTTAGGATACCGCAGCCCGCAGCCCGGCACCCTGTGAGCCTCCCCCGCCCCACTGCTCCCGGAGTGTCTCCTACAGCCCGGTCCTACATGCATGCAGCTGAATTTTCAGCATGCCCAAGCCAACAAGGAAAGATTACTACCCCCAAACCTTTCAAATCCAAAGCCTTGCTCTTTTAAAAGAATTAAACTCCAGACACTATGCCACACGGAATGAGAAGAAAGCCAGTATCAAACCTTTTCAACACATAACTTCAACTTTGCTAATAACCTGAACTTGGAAAGGAAAATGGCTCTGTATGTAGCATGACACAGCTAGGTAAGTAAATATAAATGGGAATAAGTAGGAGAAAACACACCAAATTGTTAGTATCTTTGAAAATGGGTAGCAGTGGTCAATTCTTTATCATTTTTTTCCCAATATTTTCCAAATTTCCTTCAAGAACATGTGTTTAAAAAGAAAAGTTTCGATTAAAAATAGATAATGCAGGGCACAGTGGTACATGCCTATAAATAATGCCAGCACTCTGGGAGGCTGAGGCAGGAAGATCACAAATGTCAGCCCAACCTGCACAACTTCCTAACTTGGTGACACTCTGTCTCAAAATAAAAAAAATAAGTAAATAAAAGCTGGCTGGGGAAGTAGTCCAGTGGTAGAAGGCCCTGGCTTCAATCCTCAGTACCACAGAACAAGAAGAACGATAACGCCATCACAACCACTTATTTTCGCACCCCATGAAAGTCCTAAGTGAAGTAAACGTTGAACATGCCCAGACAGATCCGCAAGCCTGTGATTTTCAGGGTCGAGAGCCAATTAACTGAAACATACATTGAGGTTCATAAACGAAACCTTTAACCAGAATTGATACCCGCCGAGTGCTTCATTCACTATTAAAGTCCAATAGGCCTAACTACCACTTGGGCATAGTGAGGTTTCCCACACCCAACAACTACCGAGTCGGGGAAAGCTGGGGATTTCCTGTTTCCCAGCAGGGCTAAGGAACTGAATTAGGAAGCACTTCTTCAGGCTTTCTTGGGCCCTTGAGCACACAAGTTCCCCAATGACAGCCAAGCGCAGTGCAGGGCGCAGCGGGATGGGATGACAGTCACCTGTGCACTCGGCCCTACCCGCAGCCCCACACAGCACCCCCCCAACACACACTGCACCCGGCTCCTTTCCGCACGCCTCAAGGCCCCTCCGCCCACACCGGGGAGGGCGCTCGGGCGACAGAGGGCGCACCGGCCACACAGCGCCCGGCCCGCTGGGGTCCTAACTCGGCCCGACCACCTGCGGCGGCGGCCGCCCCGCCTACCTGCCGCGTCCAGCTTCAGCCCGTTGGAGTTGCTGCTGTTGGCCACCAGGGTGTTCGTCTCCTCCTGCTCCGGCTCCGGGCCCGGCTCGCCCGGGGCCGCGCTGGCGGGGCCGGCGCTGGGGCTGAGGAGCGCACTCCTGGCGCGGACCCCCTTGGTGTGGCCGTGACCCCCATGCGCGTGGCCGTGACCGTGGCCGTGGGCGTCGCGGCCCAGGCCGCTGTGATGGTGGAAGAGGCACAGCCCCAGCAGGTTCACCAGCAGCCCGGCCACGCCGACGCCGAGTACCACGAGCGGCTGCTGCATCTCGTGCGGCTCCACGAAGCGCTCGACGGCCTCGAGCAGGATGGCGAAGCACAGGCCGGTCAGGAAGATGGCGTTCACCAGCGCGCCCATCACCTCAGCGCGGATCCAGCCGAACGTGTTCTTCTGCGTGGCGTGGGTCCGCCGGGCGAAGCGTTCGGCCACCAGCGCCACGACGAGCGCCAGCACGTCCGACAGCATGTGGAACGAGTCAGAGAGCATGGCTAGCGACGCGGTCACGCGGCTCACCACCACCTCCAGCACCATGAACAGGAAGGTCAGCAGCAGCATGCACAGCAGCCGCCCGCGGTTGCGGCCCCAGCACCCCATGGCGGCGGCGGCGGCGGGGGCGCGGGGCGAGGACGGTGGTGCGAGCTCAGGCCACCGAGGCCCGACTCAGCCCCGGGGACCCCGCACGCCGCGGCCGGGCGCGGGCGGCTACGCCGGGCGCTGGGGCTCCGGGAGCCGGGGCGGGCGCGGCGGCGGGCGGCGACGGCGGCGGCGGCGCGCCAAGGAGGCTCGGAGCATCTGCGGGCCCTCCTCCTGCGGCTGTCCTTCGCGGCGGCGGCGTCTGGACCCGGGTGCCCACGGCAGAGGCGCTATAAAGGAGGCTACCCGAGCAGCTGCACCCGGCCCGATCTAGGGCGCCTTCTTCGCCTCCTCCCCTCCACCCCCCGCCTTTGCAGACGGTTTACAAAAAAACTTTGCTTTGCACTCGGAACCCCAGTTTTCACACGGACCGGAGCGTCACAAGGCCCCCTCCGTCCCGCCTCCCGGGCCCGGTACGCATTCCTATTGGTTAGGAACCCCCACGACAACCGTCGCAGCCCGCCCATCTGCGCTCACGATTGGATGGCGGCTCTGAGGGGCGGGCGGAGGCGGGGTCTGGGCGCCAACCGCGGAAGGCGGGGCCTTTCGCTCCGAAGCCGGGCGTGGGCCGGGGGCCGTGGCCGGGTGCAGCACGGGCGTGGGGGGAGGGTCGGGGGCGCGGGCCGCGTGCAGCGGAGGGGGGAGGGGCGGAGAGGGGCTGGGCGGGGCTGTGAGGCACGGGGCAGCGCATCTGTCCCCGGGCGCTGCGGGTTCCCGCGGCCCCGCCACCTGCGGGCCTGGCTGCGCGAAGACTTTGGTCCTCCGAGCCGGCCGGGGCCACGTGTGGGCGGGCACCGGGCGTCCGCGCGACTCTCGGGCGACACGGGCGGGACAGTCCCTCGTGGGGCCCTGGGGCGCCGTGTCATCAGAGCCCGAGAGGCCGCCGCCGTGTCGCGCGTCGCCGGGGCAGGCTCCCGGGGCGCCCTGATCCCTGAGTGTCCCCCAAGGCGCCTGAGCCTGTGGCTGCCTCCGGAGCCCAGTGCGCCACTGGCGCTTGTGTCCTGGTTACCCGAGGACAATTTAAGGTGCAGACATAGAGCTTCGCCTACAACTCTGGTTCCCCACACCTGATTTTACTGCTCATTCGCTGCCTACATAGGGGAACCCCCCCTTCGGCTACTAGGAGGTGGGGAAACCCGAAATAATACAAAAGAAAGCTGTACAGGTGGAGTAAAATACACTAAATCACCGCCAAGCCAAGGGTCACAGGATGGTGTGGTGGCAGGAGAATCACAGAGACTTGGAGGTCGGCCTAGGCCATGCATAATCCAGGTCAGTCTGGACTGCAGAGCCAGACCCTGTCTCCAAAAAATATAATACGACACATTGCTTGACAAATTGTGCTAGTACTAGATTGCCTGTGTGTGCAGTGTGTGTATACTGTATATGGTGGCGTAAACCTGGAAGTGGGGACTTCCTGATAGAGGTGCGGTGGTGGCTGGAATTCCTGACCAAAGCCCCAAAAACACCCCACAGGCCCTGAACAGCAGGAAGGACCCCCTTGCTTCAAGACAAAAGAGATGTCAGCCTGTGCCTTAACATATGCCTGTGAAGTTTGTAGGGAGCTCTGGTTCTTTGTTTGGTTTTTTTTGTTTGTTTGTTTGGGTTTTTTTTGAGCTGATCTTCCTATATAGTTCAGACAGGCCAGAACTCATGGCGATTCTCCTGCGTCAGCCTCCCAAGTGCTGAGATCAAAGTGTGTGCCACTACAGCTGACACTGAACAGACTAAATTGGGAGATGTTTGGGCATTTGTTTGTTTGTTTTTAAGACAGGGTCTTCTTGCTACATAGTTCAGGCTGGTTTTAAACTCACAGAATAGCCCAGGCTGGCCTCAAACTCAGCAATTTTCCTGCCTCCACCTGCCCAGTGATGGGATTGTAGGCATGCAATACCACACCCAGTTTAAACTGGGAGATGTTCAGACCTATATAAAGCAGGCATTTAGGTTCAGCTCAGTAGCCCCTCATGAGAACCTACTTGGTGCACACACATAGCCCATTTTCCAGACCCCAAGCTTTATTCCCTGAGACAGGGACAGGGTATGTATTCCAGTTTGTAGAATAGCCATCACCACATGAGGAATAGCATTTATGCATGCCTGTAATCCCACTACTTAGGAAGCTGAGAGAGGAGGATTGCTGCAAGTTCAAGGCCAGCCTGGGCTACACAGTTCCAAGGCCAGCCTGAACTGCATAGAGAGACCATGTCGCAAAAAGACAATAAATATGTAAATAAATGAATGCATACCTACAAAAAAAAAAAAAAGCAGCAGGACATCTCAGTCATGAAAACTTTCCTTCTAAGCTGGGTAGGTACAGTGCTTGGGGAGCTGGGCTCAGCCTTGTCCTTTTGGCCTAGTTGTACTCCTTGGCTTCTTGTGGCCCAGGGAGGATTAAAGGGATAGCCTGGGAAAGGCCTGAGAGATCAGGAAGCCTGCTTCCTTCTCGCACTCTCCTGCCCTGGGTCCCCAGAGGTCCATGCTCTCCCACTGTGACACCTTACTTTGGACCAGCTGCCCACTGGCAGAAACTTTGGAACCCACGAGCCAGAGTAGCTTCTTTGTCCTGTAGGCTGTGCATGTGAGGCATTGTGTCCCCGAATCAGAAAGGACTGATGGAGAGACTATTATAAAATTCACCAACACCCAGAGAGTTTGTGGCCCCAGGTTCAGTGAGTAAGGAGGCCTTTCCCTCCTAATTTTTGAGAGGTCTCCCGACATCTCAAGTGTAGCTAAACCCGCCACACTTTAAACAGGAGCAAATCAAACCCCCTCTTGCAGGGAGGCTGCCCATTTGCATGCAAGGCAGGTGCATCACACAGCTTCCAGTCTCAGCCCTCTGGACCTCTGCTTGCTCTTGGTCAAAGTCTAGAATGATCCTGTTGGATTCTTAGGAAAATCGCCAATCACAAACACACCTATGAATTTTGATTAGCAAAACTTAACAGCACGTACCAGCTGTGCCTTGCTTGGTCCAAAGCCTGATGACGTCACACTGGGGCTGCCTTTTGATGTTCAGCCTGGAAACAGAATTCATGGGGGAAACCGGTTTGGTTTATTTTATTTATTGTCTTTTAGAAAGTGCTGAAATTACTGCCACAAATATGAACAGAAATCTCGAGCTAAAACACGAGGGCCAAGGTTTGATTTATGTTTTTAAGCTGGTCCCAGAGGAAGCAGCAGCAGGACAAACCAGTAACAGCATGGAAGTAGAGTCAGAGCGGACGCAGGAGGGCTGCACAGAGGAACTGGCAGTTTGGGAAGCAGTGCCAGGGTGCGAGAACGGGGACAGGCTGCACCGGGTGACTGAGCTTTCGTACCTGGGCTGAAGCTCAGCCTCGGGAAGGCCAGGAGCAAAAGGAGATGCATTTCTGTCAGACACTGAAAACTGGGCCAGAGGTAAAGGGCACCTGCAAGTGCAAGCCCTGTGCCACCGTGACACATACCAGTGATCTCAGCACTGGAGGAGGCTGGGGCAGGAGGATGGCAAGGCTGAGCCCACCTGGGCGGTCAGCAAGGCTTAGTGAGACCCTGTCTCAAAAAAAAGCCTTTTTGTGTGTTTTTTGAGACAAGGTCTTGCTTTATAGTTAAGGCTGGTCTTGAACTCACTGTGTAGCCCAGGCTGGCCTTGAACTCACAGCCTTCCTCCTGCTGCAGCCTTCTGAGTACTGCAATTACAGGCATGTGCCACCATATCCAGCCCTGCTTCAAAATTTAAAAATAGGGAGGGGCTAGGGATATAGCTCAGTACATGTGGAGACTCTGGGTCCAATTCCGAGTACCATAAAAGCAAACCCAAACATCAAAGTACAAATGTTTAGACAGATGTGGTGACACATACCAGTAATCCCAAGCACTTGGGAGGCTGAGGCAGGAGAATCACCATGTGTTTGAGGCCAGCCTGAGCTACACAGCAGGAGCCCATCTCAAAATCAACAACATACAAAAGATTTAAAAAAAAAAATTACGGGGCTGGGGATTTAGCTCAGCGGCATAAGCACCTGCCTTGCAAGCAGGCGGTCGTGAGTTCGATCCCCGGTACCGATAAAAATGAAAAAGACAAAAAAAATAAAAAAATTTTAAAAAATTTACTTTAAAAGCATTTTTATAGGGGCTGAGGATTTAGCTCAGCGGCATAAGTGCCTGCCTTGCAAGCAGGTAGTCGTGAGTTCGATCCCTGGTACTGATAAAAACGAAAAAGAAAAAAAAAAAAAAAGCATTTTTATGGTGCTATTATTCCTATTTGTCTGTAAAGAGGACTCCGACCAGTGGAGCATCTTGAAAGACTCACACACCTGCTGAGTTGTAGAATGAGGGAAGCTCTGGAGTCTTCCTCGAGGGTTAATCTCAATGGTCAACCTGAGCGGCCCGAGAGACACCAGGGAGTATCGGAGTATGTCCGAGAGGTCAGGGGCTGTGACCTTGGGGACAGTGTCTGGTCCCTGGTCCCTTTCTCTCTGGCTCTGCCCCTGCTCTGTTTCCCAGGTGACATGAGCTGAGCAGTTCTGCCCCACCACGGCCTCCACCCTGATGATCCTGCCGGGGAGGAGCTGACCATGGACTGAACCCTCAGCAACTGTGAGCCTAATTAAACCCTCTCCTCCTGTAAGTTGTGTGGCCAACAGCAGAAAACTGGTTAATCCACGACTCTTCAAAGCTACTGTGGAAAAATAAAATGAATTAAGATGTGTTATGTACGTGGGCCAACTCCCAATAATGAAATAATTATGTGCTGCAAACATTCCCTAATAAAATAAGCATAAAATAAAGTGTTTTACATGTGAGAAGGATTACTTTGCACTTTGGAAAAGTTATTAAACCTCTGTAGGTATAGTGTGTGCTCCCAGCTACACCACCTGTTCTGAGGCTCACAGTGAATCCAGGGCTGAGTTCTAAACTGAAAAAAAAATTGTTTTTGGTTTGTTTGATCAGTTTTTTGAGACAAGGTCCTGATAAGCAGCCCCAACTGGGGGATGCTCCTTCCTCCTCCTCCCTCCCCGAGGAGGCCTTGCTTGTTCCCCAGCACTCAGATCAAAGGTCACTTCCTCTACAAGTTCCCAATCCTGGTGACCCAGCTGGCTGCCCTGGGCGGCCTCCATTGCTCACACCACCGTTTTGTGGCTCTGAGTTCAGATCTGTTCTGGCTCCGAGGCACCCCTGAAGGGCAGGAATCCCTGGCCAGCCTGGCATGGGGCCCAGTGCTCTGTTCCAGCCTCACCAGACAATTGAGGTTTCCCAGGTGGCTTATATGGACGGAGATGGAGACCCATGCAGCTGAGAAATTCATTGCGAAACCATACAGCCTGTGAGCTCAAGCTTCACACTGCAACCAGAACATGGTTTTTTGTTGTTGTTTGTTGTTTTATTTTGAGACAGGCTCTCTCACCATGTAGTCCAGGCTGGCCTCAAACGTGCTGCAATC